CTCTCGCAATCGCAATTGAACGCGACACTCTTTCTTTCCTTCATCAACGTAATCGTACTAATTGTTCGTCGAAACAATGGCCGGTTGCGGGAGAAAAAGTAATTTAATATCAGAAGGCCAACCGGGGGTATTACTGAGGCCAGACGGAGGCGTTTGCATTATTGGGAGGATTACGAAAAGAAAGTTGGATAGATATCATCTACACGGATTCATTGTCAGGATAGAATCCGAGGTCGTGGTAACAAGTGTGCGAAGATTCAACCGTGTTACAGCATGTTTTTCTTTAAGATTTGGAATAGTTAATTTTTAAATCTAACTTCTTAAATTATTCCCCTTTATTATCACTATAATAATAATACTATTTAATCCTTTTTCCTTTAATTTTTTTTTTAATTTTCTTAATTTTTTAAACGACACCCAAGTGCTAACAAAAAGGCTTCTAATTTTCAATTTATCAACAAGAATATAATTTTCCACATTTGCATTGATTCTGCTTTAAAATAAACACCTGTGTGCATTTTCTTTTTCATAACGAAACGACGACAGTGTAATACGAGTAGAAGGTTTCCAATTTCCAAAGCATATATTGACAATAATATCGGCTTTTATAATGTGTCAAATAATTTTCCTTTGAAACAAACACGCGTTTTTCATTTATCTATATTTAAACAGTTTTATTTACTCTTTGTACGGTTTTCATTATCTTGTTGATAAATTGGTAACATGGCAGAAACACGAATCGACAGAAATAACCTATCTTTAAAGGATGGGATATTGTATTAAAACCGCAGTGATCAATATGTTTCTCTGATAGGACGCTCTTTGCCGTCTGTTAACCTTTCAACATTGTTGGAGGTACACAGTTGAATTGCACGGAATTGCTTAACGAGTCGCGTACCAACGACGTATATCGTTGATTATACTAATCTATAAATTCTTAGTGAGCTTAGGTTTGAAAAAACTTTTGCATCGAATCGAACGAAAAAATCGCGATTTAATGACCGTTGTACTAATGAATCCCGATTATTTACTGTCTTCTATCCAGTTTAACGACATTTATAGCGAAAAACATTCTAACAAGCATTCACAGGCCTTTTTTTTTGAAATTATAGTAAATTTAATTGCATCGATCTTAAATCATGGAATTTTTTTTTATGGATAAAATTTATTAAAAATTCTCATTTTATTTCTGCCAATAATTTAATCAAATTGAATTTTCAAGATTGCTGATTAAACGACTCTAACGGTAATAAATTTAACAAAACGGATCTGAAATTAAACGAACTTCGCAGAGTCTGAAACAATCAAGCAGTAGTAATTAATGCTTTTGAGTGCAACAAAGAAATCTGGAACATTAATAAACACGATTGAAAAGTTCACCGTAGTTATTTGATATTTTCTATGGCAGCGGTTAAAAGGGCAATCGCGACCTCGTCGCGTATCAATCATCGTACACTCTATAAATCATAAAACATAATTATTGCCTCTGATGATTACCCTTTAGAAGGGTGTTTCAACGGTCTCTTGTAATCCGTGTTATTTTCGTCGTATCATGTCATAGCATTAAACGTTTCACGTTCACCGAGACGAATTGGCAGTCAGGTGCGTTTGCAACTTGCAAATTACTTTCTACTTAAGCGTCTAAGAGGTAGTTTCTTTGTGCCTTTTAAAGAGATGGAACTGGTTTGAAGATGGCTTTAGGTTATCTTATAATTTATCTGTGATAGATAATGTTTCATAAAACAAACTCGTCGTAAATTGAATTTGTACTAAATGTTCCATTCGACCAATTATCGAGCAACGTGCTTTTGCAAACTACATATGGTAACTTTCATGGACGTGCCTCGTGTATACTCAAACATTTTGTAACAAGTTTAATAGGTGATTTCATAGGATTATTCGACAAGTACATTAGCGAAGTACTTATAGTTGTTCCGATGGAATTTGGTTGGACGTGGTTGCGTAGAAATGTTTGTCGAGACGAATCGTCGGCGCAGGTGAATTTGCAAATTGCCAGTATCGCAAAAGCGCGGCAAACGAGCAGCTGCGGACCGGAACAAATTAGCTGAGCTTTTGTATTTAACTAGCCGTATCAAAGCGTTAAACGTTGTATCTAGCCGGATTTGTAAACAGTAGAAACGGATTGTATCTAGAGATAATTTCTACTGATTCAAGATAGAGACGGGCCAGCCTATAGTTCAACCGGTAGTCGTCAATCATTGCCAGACTTTCGATAGAAGGGATCTATTCGTAATGGAACTTCTCCAACAGAGATGAGAAGATCTTCTGTTAACCATTGACTGACTATCATTTCACAAGCCCTTTCTTTTTATTCTTTAACCTCTATGAACTGTACCGAGCACTGTAGGCTTCCTTCTTCAAAAATTTTCAAATTTCCAAGTTTCAAGGTTTCCGAATCTAAGTTTCCAAATCTCAATTTCCAAATTTCAAGGTTCCCAAATCTGAATTCCCAAATTTCAAGGTTTCCAAATCAAATTTTCAAATTTCAAGGTTTCCAAATCTAAATTTCCAAATTCCAAGATTGTCAAATCTGAATTTCCAAATTTCAAGGTTTTCAAATCTAAATTCCAAATTTCAAGGTTTCCAAATCTAAGTTTCCAAATCTCAATTTCCAAATTTCAAGGTTTCTAAATCAAATTTTCAAATTTCAAGGTTTCCAAATCTAAATTTCCAAATTCCAAGATTGTCAAATCTGAATTTCCAAATTTCAAGGTTCCCAAATCAAATTTTCAAATTTCAAGGTTTCCAAATCTCAATTTCCAAATTTCAAGGTTTCCAAATCTGAACTCCCAAATTTCAAGGTTTCTAAATCAAATTTTCAAATTTCAAGGTTTCCAAATCTAAATTTCCAAATTCCAAGATTGTCAAATCTGAGTTTCCAAATTTCAAGGTTTTCAAATCTAAATTCCAAATTTCAAGGTTTCCAAATCAAAGTTTTTCAATTTCAGAATTTTGAAATAAAAATTTTCGAATTCCAAAATTCGCAGTAAAAAATTTCAAATTAATAGCCTAAATATTGGTCTGAGTTTATCAGGATGAACCGATATTGAGGAGCGTTCGAACGAATCGCGTCATGCACGAACAGCCGCGTGCCATTGCACCTGAACATAATACCATTACTACGTGGCATTGAGGGTTATGAATGAAATGTAGTGCAACGACATCGCGAACGAGTGCCAAGATCAATGAAACTCTCGCGTGCTCGAGCCCCAACCATTGCGATACTGACTTTTATATTATGTCAGTCTAATCATCATTCGCTTTGGTTCGCGTACGATGTTCGTTACATTACGAATTCCTTTCATCTATTGTGGGTTTAATGACCTTCGAGGATCATGACTTATTTAAAATTTCTATAAAACGATGTCAGGTTCTAGGAAAGATTTAAAAGAAATTTTTATCTTTGAATTTTGAAATAGGCTCGGTTCATTAATAATACATCTTGCACTCTCTTAAACTCCTAATTGCAAATAATTATTATTTGATTTTCACTTGAAAATTCCACATGGATAATGCTTTATTATCCGAGACGAATGATGACATTACTAGTGTTTCAAAACGATGAATATTTAGTTTTCCTAAGTAGCTATTGTAAACCTAAGTTTATTGAAAACATTCCAGAAGAAAGTAAAAATAGAATGATTATTTCTTGAGGTCTCGAGACACGTGTTGCAATGATCAGGATGCACGAGGATCATCGCTAACCCGGTTGCGATTTTCTATTTGCAGTCGAATCGACGTATGCCTTTATTTCGCAATTCGTTGGTATTTCGTCGCGACGTGGCACGAATCTCGCTTTCATCTCAGAAAACGCGCAGGTGTAAACGACTATCATCGCTATATTTACATTCCGGTTACTGTGAACGATCGTCGCACGATCAGGGTCTCCTCGATCGCCAAGAAATCAATAAAAAATATTTCATCTGTGAATTGTCTAACGTTTGAACATCGTTGCCAAAAAATTTAAGTTCTAAGTTGAGTCGAGCCGAGCCACCCCTGTTTCAATTTCAGTGAAAATTTTCACTTTTGATGAAAATCGAAGCGTCATCGTGATTGATCGACTCGAACAGATGGTATTTAATATTTGAAATTACATAACATCGTCTGTTGCTTTGATTCTTTATTGAAAACCACGCTCGTTCCGCGAGAAAGTTGTTTTAATAATTTTCACTTCGTTGCCGTTGAAAATTCATTAAATTTTCCATGTTCATTAGATGTAAAACAAAATATGTGTATAACAAACAGGGTGAAAAAAAATGGCTAGGTATTGAAATTATGTTAAATTTATATGAAAACATTTTGGTGGTTCAGTTTTGCGGATTTAATTAAAAGTTTGATTAATTCCTCATTGATGACGTGTGAAATAGGAAAAGATTTAATTAAAAGTTTGATTAATACTTCATTGGTGTCGTAAATTGTGCATCCAACTGGCAGAGTTTCAATTAATAGTATTCTCATCAATTAAATTCATCAATAATTAAAAGTAGGAAGAGAATAAAATGATGTGAAATTTTGAAAAATTGAATTTCAAATATTGGTCCCAACGACCCAAATCACTACCCTATTCAAATGATAAAAACTGAAAAGCAGTTCATTAGAGTTTCTTCCAAGAACTCATTATTCAATCTTCATGAATAGCATCAAATCTATTCACAGTGTGAAATAAAATTAAAATTATCTGACATCCAAGGGTTAACGCGTCGGCTGCCACAGGGTTCACAAATACCCCATTGAAATTTTGTATAATTATATTTTGTATAATTCTAAATTAAAAATTTTCAAATTAATCAATCGTATCCTAATCTGGATTGAACGCGTCTTATCGTGTCTGACTATGTACATATGTTTCCACTGTGGCAGGCAACCTGTTAATACCGATGCCGGTTGGCAAAGATCACACGTGTTAATGATGAAGCTCACTATAATGAAATTGAATAGCACTATGGCGAAGCGTAATCCTGCGTATATGGGGCACGTACCAGGCTGAAGAAAGCGGCCCGCATACGGCCTAGCATCCTGGCGCGTTCGGTTCGTTAACAAGCCATCCTCCGAAACGAATCTCGAGTTTCGAACAGATGATGATCTCTTCAGAATTGTACACGCAGTGTACCGTTCAAACCGAAAGACTGAAGACGTAGCCGGCAGAAGAAGGCTTATATACAGGGTGGGGGTCGGCAAGAAGACCAACTTGGTGCCCATCCTCCTTCGTGTCTTCTCTTTTCCCCATTCTTCGACGGTTTCGACTCTTCAGGGATAATTCTTGCCTGTTTCTTCTATCCCCTCTACCAACCGCTGTCGCGATCCTTGTTAGTCCGTCTTGGCCCACAGGAGGACCTTTGGCGAGTAACGATCCGATCGACCACCATCGCGAGATCTCGCTTCTGGTTCCATTTACGAGCTTCAATCGCTTAAACGAGACCATTCGATGTCTGTCGGATGATTTCAATTTCTTCTTCATGGGGATTCTTCGTTTTTTTTTATTTTTTTTTTTTATGAGCTCTTTTGATCGAGAACCTTATCCGCATTGTGATAAGTGAAAGCTTAATTACGAGTTTCACTGACAATGAATGAGTGGAGGATCAACAGGTGTTTTGGATTCATTTTTCTTGGATGTTCTATTTGGAATTTTTTAGAATTTTGCTTTGAGGAGAAATAATAATGGAAATTTTTGGAAATTTTGCGTGTGATAAAGTCAGATTTCTATGTATAGGGGAACCTAATAACGAATCCGTTACAGTGTTGTTTTCTTTAGGGATGCCTATGGGAAAGAGCGAGAACCCAGGACATTATTTTTCCTGGCGAAACCTCTGATCGCGAGTGTACCTTCCTCAGGATTCTTTTCTTGGAACCCCGAAAGTAGAAACGAATGGCGATAATTATAAGCTTAATTGCACGATGCAATTTATTTCTGATTTTATTTATGAGCTTGAACGGGGAGGATCGATAGATGTCGAATGCTTTGGATTTCTTCTTCGCGATAAATAGAAGCTTAATTGCCCGATAAATTTCTTTCATTCTGAATGCAGATGGGAAACATTAATAACATCCTTTTCCCTTGGACCTTCTCTTTTCACTTTGATCGTCTCTTTTTCTTTATTGAAACATCGTTTCAGACTGCGATGATCTCTTTCTCCGATATAATCTGTTCCTGGTTTCATTTCGAATTCAAATAGATCGAAGGAAATCGTTCAGGATTTCAAAGGAATTGCGTGGTTTAGATTTACACGTTGATTTCGTTGTTAACGTGGGTGGATAGCATAGAAAGTTTTCACGACTATCAAGGATTTTTCTTCTTTTTTTTAAGAGTTCCCTTCGACCTATTTTCATTTGAATAAATTTTTTCAAAACAAAAATGAAAAATTCTTCAAAATTTTAATTCACGCTCCGTTGCTATGGCAAATATTAATTTCTTCTCGAACTGCTGATAATTCCAAAAAACACGTCATCGAGTACGCTGGGATGCTCCCGGAACCATTTCGAATTCCTTTGATCTGGGAGAAATTCGCAATTCGATCCATAAACCTGGCCTTTCCAGGCTCGCAAGGACTACGGGTATTTCACAGGTGAGACCAGACAACGGTGAATCATCTCGTTAAAGATTCCTTGAGAAATTCACTGTATCCGATTTCATCGGGTTTCGTGGGTGCGCAATTAGGGAAGACATACACGATCAACCTTCGATCGTGATAATATGTAAACAGGAACGCATTCTTGGATGCGTACAAGGCTTCTCTATGTTCCATATCGGGTGTACTTGAACACCGCAGCTGCGTTCAGCAGTTTCAAGTTGCAAAGTAATTTGGTCTCAGATCGTGAGAATTACAAAAAAACAAACATACATGAACAAAGAAGAAACAATACACCATCATTGATCATCAATTAGACGACGATTGAGATATTGTCCCTGGAGGGACACTGTTAACAAGAAACCACAGATGGCTCGCCAATGGCAAGAAATACTGCATTATTAATTAACAATACACGCAGTTACATTCTGTTCGAAGAAACAACATCTACGGTGCCTAAAATGGCAGCAAATGGTCATGGAAGAAGGAAGTTACTAATGGACCTTGCTGACACGAACAACCATGGAATTCTTAAAAAGAATTTATCTTTCTAAGCAGGAACTACCGACAGATGGTTTCGTCGAGTAGTTAATTTAGTCGAGTTGGATTTGTAGAAATTCTTAATTAACACTTTGAATTTTCCTAAAGATTATCGTCAGAGATGACTTTACTGTAAAATCGCGTTTATGTTGACTCATTTTCTTAAGATATGACAAAGTAAATTTCATGAAATTTTTCCTGATGATTCATAAGAAGTAGAGGTGTACAGGTACTCGAAACAAGGGTGCAACGACTCAAGCCGACTCGACACGACCCGACCCGATCGTTATCCCCACTCGACACGACCCGATCGTTACCCCCACTCGACCCGACTCGACACGACGCGACCCGATCGTTACCCCACTCTATCCAACTCGACTCAACCCGACACAACTCGAGTCGCAGATATTCGCACACCTCTAATAAGAAGGGTAAGCACCTCGTTAAAGACGCTACGTATATTTACGTCAAAACGGTTATTCTAATATTTCCTGAGAACCGGTAACCTTTTTTTTGAAAAACCGGTACCATGAGTTCGGTAAAAGGTGGTACAAATGACTTCGATTAGCAGGCCGAGAGTTGTGCATAATATGCGCAACTGCAACGCGTTGATATAACACGTATGGACTGGAGGAGAGAGATGTGCGTGTGCATCTTGCGTAACTCGTATTTAAGGTGTAAACCTTGACTTTAAAACTGGTCGCATTGGCACCGACGTACACGGCTGGTGACTGCACTTTCCTCGTGACCGAATAAACCTTTTTTTCGCGGAAATCGATGACGTTATCGGTTAAACGACTTCGGTATTAATCCCTCGAGCGACGGAGCAGAATCCTTGGATAGGTTTCATAGATACAGGCTAGTGTCATCTTCTAAATTAAACGAAAAGATTCGTCGGCGACCTTTTACCCGGCTCCGTTCCTTTTACTCTCGCCCTATTTCATTCGACAAGCGTGAAATTAGAAAGCAATAGAGGATAATACGACGATTTATTCATTCAGCGTTAAGACTTTTTTCGAAAGTTGTAAACAGGGCCTGAAACGAACAATTTTTAAATCCCCTGATGTAATAAAATATTCACGAATCTTCGCGAAATTTCCCTTTGTTTATTAACCGTATTGAATCGCCTTATCACGTACGCGAGTCACTTGACTTTCACGCAATATCGAAAAACAGTAAAGAGGGCCAGGTCGACAAAACGGACTTTAATTTTCAGCGCTGGCACACATTCGAACGAGAATCCATTGTCATTCGACCTTACACCGTGACATTGACGGTTCTTGAAGTTTCTACTACTTGTCGCCATTCCAATACGACTTTTCGTCGTATTTTGCATTCGAGCTTCGTAACACGGTTACTGATACGAGTGATATGAATTTTTACGCGTTCCCGCGTTAGAGATCTTCGTCTGTTCCAATTTCGATCGAGTGGCCATCGCGTATAAACTGTCGAACGAAAAAGCTCCAACTCGCCTACGAATATCCTCTCGACCATTTCCTTTTGAACGAAGTTATCGGAAATTTTGCCCGGAATACGATTACCCGATTAACGAAGCAGACATTGCTCGAGGAGGTTTACCTAAAAAGTTAACCCTTCGATACCGAATGCACACGCTTGAATCGTCCAGATCGAATTTCGAAAATTCTTTTGTCCGGTTTGAATGATTTTTATACGAAAAATATCGCCGGGTTTATCGGTCTTCGAAATTTGGGAAAAGAAGAGAAGAAAAACTTTCTAGTCACGTAAAGGGGACGGTTTTAATGCGAATCGTTTCTCGCCTAGTAAATTTCCGGATGCCAATAAATTTGGAAGAAATTTCGGAAAGGTGCGAGAGCCGCAGAATCTGTTTTTGATATGGAATAATCCAGACGATCGACGTAAGAATAATATCCGCGATACACGCAATCACTTTCTCTGGCAAATAAAAATTCATTGTCAGAAAAGAAGAGACGCATTCCGGCGAGGATTCTCTCCATAAATTATCGCATCAATTTGTCTAGCTAATTCGGTAATTAATCGTCGTAGAAATTAACTGAGATTTTCGCTGATCAGCTGATCCATTGAAACGCTCGGTTATTCGTTGATCCTTTGTTGCATTGTGCTTGCAAAATTGCAACTTACCAACCTGCTAAAAAAAATATTTACAAAATACTTGTTTAAGAAAAAAATAAAAAAAATTCAATGGATTTATCAACTTTTCAAATATTAAAAGCTCGACAATTTTTCACGACACTTTTCCATCTTTCCTGTTTGACATTGCTGAAGGAAGGATCTCGCGTTAGCCGTGAATCGTGTACGATCAATCATCGTGACACAAATCACTTTCTCTAAGGCGCTTGGATAGAACGATACACTCCTCTTCCCTCGATAATGTCTGACAAAGTAATTTACATGAGCTAACTGGTTTGACACACAACCGGCGTGTAACTTTCGCGAGTGAAATAAAGGAAAGAAAATCAGTGGTAGTATACGCTCGTTACGTGCATTCCGATATTGTTATCGTTATGATATAATCGGTGGGATATATTCTTTGACGATAACTAGGGGAAATATAAATGAAAAGTACGTCTGTAGACGATTCGTATATTTGGAAAATGTATAATTATCTCAGAACACTTTGAGTAGTTAAACAGAAATTAATTTTTAATTCTTAATTATAGAAAATTGCAATTATGTGATGTTTATCAGATTTTAAGATTAAGTCTGAAGATAAGTTACAGATTAGGTTGCGTTAACAGAACCCAATTTTTACAGAATTTAAACAGAAATTTTTACTGTATTTAAATAAAAATTAATTTTTAATTAATTCTTAATTATAGAAAATTGCAATTATGTGATGTTTATCAGATTTTAAGATTAAGTCTGAAGATAAGTTACAGATTAGGTTGCGTTAACAGAACCCAATTTCTACAGAATTTAAACAGAAATTTTTACTGTATTTAAATAAAAATTAATTTTTAATTAATTCTTAATTATAGAAAATTGCAATTATGTGATGTTTATCAGATTTTAAGATTAAGTCTGAAGATAAGTT